ACCAAATTTATTTAGCGGGAAAAGAGGCAGACACAGAAGAAGACTGAACTAAGGCATTGAAAAAAGATGAACAAGAGAAAGTCCCTAAAGAGGACTCTTTCCAAATTCTACTATCTGGACAGGAAAGATCTAAGAAAACTGAATTCAACACAGTGAATAACTCATCTGCAAAAGCCAATTCTGAATCCTTCAACCCTCTTCTCAAACCCAAATCCCAAGTCCCCTCAGATGCACGAAGTGAGGAGATGGTTTTGAATTTATTTAGGGAAAGAAAGTACATTACTGGGAATCTATCCTTTAGGGGGGTGTTCCCAATCCAAAGGTCCTCCCAAAACAAAACTTTATTACCTGAGCACACATCAAATCTGATGAAAGGCTGAAAGGAAGACAAGACTCTAGCAATTGCTTTCCAAGGGGAGAAATGAGAAGCCCTAGGGTCAATGCCAGCATCCCATCCATTAGCTGCCATCCCATGAATACTTTCCACCACCAAGTGCCACAAACTGTCCTACTCCAAAGGAAATCTCCACAACCACTTTCCTAACAAAGCTACATTTCTTAATCTGATATTACCAATGCCTAGACCCCCCGCTTACTTTTCCTATAAACTACATCCCACTTCACTAAATGGTCCTTTTTTGAGTCACAAGAGATTTTCTAACTTATTAGCAACCTTGGTAGGAATCTTAAAGGTAGACAGAAAATACACCAAAAGGTTGGCCAAAGTGGACTTGATTAAAGTGATTCTACCCCCTAGTGAGATATAATTTCTCTTCCACCCTGCTAGCTAAAGCCCTAGCCACCAACTACACTTCATCATCCCGTAAATTCACCCCCGCTACACAACTCTTGTTCCAATTGATTTTCAGATTGGAGACTCTCTCAAAATGCATCACCACCAATCTCAAATTATCCATCTCCTCAATTTCCCCTTCACAAAAGAGAATGATATCATCTGCAAATTGTAGGTGAGTGACAATCACTTGTTGCCTCCCAACTCCCCATCCTTTCAGTAGATTTCTTGAATCAGCCCTAGAAATCAAAACACTTACGACATCCACTACTAAGGTGAAGAGGAAAGGTGACAAAGGGTCTCCTTGTCTAAGGCCCCTCTTTGCAGGAAAGAAGTCCCTAGCTACAACCCTTCATCCACTTACACCATCTCTCCCCAAAGCCTCTATTCTTCAACACTTCTAGAAAGAAATCCCAATCCACCAAATCATAAGCCTTTTCTAAGTCAAGTTTGCATATCAAACCCTTTTCTCCTTTTCATTTTTTGTAATCTACACATTCATTGGCTATTAAAATCTGATCAATAATTTGTCTCCCTTTCACAAAGGCCCATTGATTCAGTGAGATTAAGGAAGAAAGGACTTTCTTGAGTCTTAGTGCAAGAACTTTAAAAATGATCTTATACAGACTCCCAATCAGACTGATCGGTCTAAAGTCCTTGAGCTGAATTGCAGGCATCTTCTTAGGGATCAAAGCTATGAAAGTAGCATTTGCACCCACATTTATTTTTCCTCTTGCAAAGAATTCCAAGAAGACCTCTACTGGGTCATCACCTAAGATGTCCCAATAGTCTTGATAAAAAGCCATAGCGAATCCATCCGAGCCCGGGGCTTTTGATCTTTCCATAGAGAAAAATGCCTCCTTTATTTTTTGAACCTCAAACGGTCTTTCTAGGGGTTCCAACAATTCCCTTTCTCCAACATGCCACTCAAAGTCGGTTAGAGTGGATTTAAATGGGACTGTAATGGGACTGTCATTACAACAATTCCCTTTCTCCAACAATTCCCTTACTCTAATGGGACTGTCATAAATGAATTTAAAATGCTCCGCAAAAGCTTTTGCAATCTCTTCCTCTCTAGTCAGCATTGCCCCATTCCATTCCAAACTTTCTACTATGTTCTTCCTCTTTCTTCCACTTGCCAAGCTATGGAAAAATCTTGTATTACCATCTCCTTCCTTCAACCACTTGCATCTTGATTTTTGTCTCCAGCTTATCTTTTCTTTTTTGAGAATTTCCTCCAACTCTTGTTTCAACTTCCATCTCTTTTCCCTCTCTTCATGCCTCAATCATCTCTCTGCCACAGCAACATCAAGTTCTTGAATCCTTTTACTAATTGCTTCCTTTCTGTCTTCAATTCTACCAAACTCTTCTTTGTTCCAMRCYTYGATCYTRGCTTTTAGMTTTTGTARCTTCTTATAAAATCTATATCCCTTCCATCTAAACTCCACCTGATCCTCTTCCCACCATACTTTTACTTTCTTTTGAAAGTCTGGATGTAACAGCCACATGTTTTCAAATATAAAGGGGCAAGGCCCTCCTATTCTTTCTTGAGATGGTCTAACTGGACAATGATCCGACATAGGTCTAGGTAGTGCCCTCATCACCAAACCACCCCATACTTCCTCCCAATTTGAAGAGAATAAAAATCTATCTAGTTTACAACAAAATGGTTCTTCCTAAAAATTAGACCAGGTAAAATCAACTTGCACCAACGGTAGCTCCCTCAATTCAAAAGAATCCACAAAATGATTGAACTTCCCCATACTTGAGGTGATCCTATGGTTGGGGTTATTTGTTTCAATTATAAACCTAATGACATTAAAAACCCCTCCCAAGCACCACGGACCCTCCCACAATCCCTTATAGCTGCAATTCCACCCAAAACTCCTCCATTTCTCTGTACGAATTTGGCCCATAAGCATTTGTTAAAGCCCATTCCAATCCATCAATTCTTCATCTGAATTTTACTATAACCGTATAGTTACCAATTAATTCTTTTGTACAATCCAAATCCTCATTTTTCTAGATTGTCAGAATACCCACTGAGGCCCCCCAAGACTGTGCAAAAGCCCAACTCAGTCCTCTAGCCGACCAAATACTTCTCATCCATCTCCTATCCACCTCTGACAATTTTGATTCCTGAATCAACACAATATCTGGCTTTTCTTTTCTGAGCATTTCCCTTATCACTCTTCTCTTCCTGCAACTCCCCAATCCCCTTACATTCCAACTAATAATCTTCATTGAGAACCTAACTTATGAGCAACCCTAGAAATCACCTTTTGCTAACCTGACTACCTTTCTTTTCTCCCAGAGAACCCCTTGTCATAGTCCACTTCACACCTCAATCTCTCCACTTCACTCAATTTCTTATTCCTCCTTTTAGGTGTCCTCCTTCAAGCTCTTTCCTCAGGTTATCTTGTTCTTCCTCTCTTTTCTTTTTTTTGGCTTTTCTTCCCATTTCTTCTCTTTGTTGTTTTTTTGCCCATTTTTACCCTTTCTCCCTCCTTTCCCCTTACCTAGGAACTAGGAACTGGAGTGTCACCCTCTTGTTCCTTTTCAAAATTCTCCCCTATTTCCTCCTCTACCTCTACCAAGAGTGTAAAGGTCTATAAAACTAATCCCCAAATCCTTTCCCCTTCATCCACAATGTCATTTAGAACCTCTAAATCCTCTAACAACTCTATTACTTCAAATGAATCACTAGGACAGTCAGCTTTTGGAAGAGTGCCACTAGGATATGCAACTTTTGAATGAGTGTCAGCTTCACCTACAGGCTGAGATAAAACAACTGAGGAAGGGGGCAGATTAGTATCAAAAACTCGAGGAATACAAGAATCAAGACAAAAACTAGAAACAACAAAACCTGATTTGTCACCAGTTCTGCCTAGGTTCTGAGGGAGTTTGCTGGGAGAAGTCTCCTCAGGATCAACCTGTGTTGCACTAACAGGGGAGCAAGGATTGCCTGTTTCTTTGCCATTTGACTTGGGAGAGAACATATTCAAACTGTTGACACCTTGACCTTGATCTAGATGTGGAACAGGTTCTTCTCTGAAATTGGCCAAGACGTTCACCTCCCTCAAGGTACCGCTTCCCATTCTCAAGCTCTTTGATAGCTCCAAAGAATTCGCAAGCTCAGGAGTAAAGTCTTCTCCAAACAGAAGTGTTTTTCCAAGGTCTACACCTGCTATAGAAAAGCTTTTCATTCTAACATTTCCAATTCCCAGTCCCCTCCTTCCTTCAACTTCACCACCTTTTCCCATCTCACCAAATGATCTTTCTCCCCTTCCTCCCGGTTCCCAAATAAAGTCTCACATGATTTTTCTATTTTTCTCACTACTTCGGGCATCCTAAAAACAGGCGTGTAGTACACTACAAGGTTGGCCAAAGTAGAGTTTATTACAGTTATTCTCACACCCAACAAGATATAATTCTTTTTCCACCCCGCTAGTCCCTTCTCAAACCTTTCCACCACTAGGGTCCAAAAAATAGTTGATCTAGGGTTATTACCTAGGGTAACCCTAAATATCTCAAAGGCCAATCCCCTCTTTCAAAAAGCTTTACTACCAATTTCAAGTTTTCCACCCTATCTCTGCTGTCCCATCACAAAAGACTAAAATATCATCGGCAAACTGCAAATGAGTAACCAAGATTATATCTCTCCCTACTGAGAACCACCGCTACTAGAGTAAAAAAGAAAGGGCGAGAGCGGATCACCTTGAAAAGGAAATCTGGTTTCAACCACCAATCCATTTAACATGAATTTTTTTTATCAATAATTTAACATGAATTATTTTAATAATAATATATTATATTTTAATAACTTAGGGACCTTCATCTGAGACATTTTAACATCCCTACCTTGAAAAGGAGATTTGGTTTTCAGTGAAAAAAAAAAAAAACAAACAATGGCAAGACGGTGATACAACTAGAAATTCGAAATGAAATCCTTACAGAAGTTCTTCTGGATGAACCGTTCAAGTTTGGTTTTGGCGGATTCCCCTACAATACCTCTTGATATCCCTTTCTCATTTATAAATCAGTTTGTGGTTGATAAGAAAAAAAAAATAACCGTAATTTTTTTGATAACTAGGGTTATTAAACGCCTTCAATGGAAGGCCATTCAACATAAGATTGGAATCTGATTGAGAAGAATACCAAACGAAGCTAGCTAAAGTTACAGGGAAAGATGAGAGACGGAGCTGACCGTACTAAAGAGCTTGGCGAGAGATTTATCGGAAAAGGGCATGAAGTCCATGTAAGCAAAGCTGCGGCCATTGGTCCTCACAATGTCGACTGCCTTCACAGTCCCCAACGAAGAGAAGGTTTTCTGGAGATCTTCTGCCATTACGCTCCCGCCCAGTCCTCCCACAAATATCCTCGTCATAGTTCTAACATTACTTCCTTCATACCCTTCCATTTTCCCCTCCAGCCTTTCTCAGGCCCCAGGAACTCCCTTTCTTTGATATCTGGAGTGATTCCGTCCCTTTCTCTTAAAACTGCACCGCTCACCCAAATGGGAGGCGCAAATCGTTGATATTAGGTATTGTTTGATATCACTTAAAATAAGTACTTTTTTTAAAGCACTTAAAATTAGGACCTACCCGTGCATTTGTATATAAACAAAAACGAACATGAAGCTCTATGACATTTCCAAATTAAATGGTTGGATTCAAGGCTTTTTATTAGATTTTGTTGGTTTGTTTTTATTTTTGTATTATTTTTGTTATAAGAGGATATTTTTTGTATTATAAAAAATATCCTCTTATAACAATTTTATAAACCACCTTTGTTCTAATGCTAACAAAGGCCTCTCCTATAGTTTTGATTTGAGAAAAGAAAATGCAAATACCTCATTGAATTTACCAAAATACCCTTATTATCGTTAATACATTAAGTTTCAACCTTACCTTCCACTAATTTATTTTGCAAAACAATTTTTAAAAAATAATTCTTCTTATTCTTCCCGGACAAAGTAAGGTAAAAAGGGTGCTAAGCAAAGGAAGGTATTTTCGCCTTTCTTCAAAACAATAGAGGAGGCTTTTATTAAAGGTCAAAACACTAGGGAGTTTTGTAGGATTGTTAGAACACCCAAGGAGGTTTTTATAATTTTCCTTATTTTTAAATGGAATTTAAATTAATTTAAAAATAATTAAACTACATTTAAAATTAATATTTTTACTAATTTTTTTAAATTAGTAAAAATTGAATTTATTTTAGTTTATTAAGTTTTTATTAAATTTAAAATCCTTTTGAAATTTAATTAACTATATACATTTTTAATTTTCAATGGAATTTAAGTTGGTTTTAAATTAATAAAATTTAATTATAAAAATAATAATTGTTTGATAATTTTTTATTAGTTTTATATTAATTTTAAATTGATATTAATTTTTAATTTATCTTATTCCTTTTATTAATTAATTTATTTTTATTATATTAACAAAAATGTTTTTATCAATAACAATAATTAGTAACTATTTTTATTTTATTTAAGTAACTTATTAAATTATTTTTATTATGGTTAATTTATTTTTATTATTGTCGATTTGAATATAAATGGATTATAATTTTAAATGGAAGTAGATTATTTAATGCAAATACATCTAATGCAAATACATCTAATATATATAATTATAGTTAAATTGAAATAGATATATATAGATAAAGTTAATGTATTTTATGCAATTTAATGGAGTAATGGATATATGAGAGAATTAGTGACAAGAGTTATTGAAGGAGATCGAGAGTGAGGTGGCGTTTGATAAATCTAAAATTTCAAATCTTAAAAGTTAAAAAGGTATTTTTTGTCCAAAATTCGAAAAGAGGCATATGTGTTTTTTTACTTTTTAGAGGCTCTGAATCCATAAGTTTGTTTGCGTTTGATCAACCTTTTACCATCTGAAATTTACTGATTTTACTATTTTACCCCTAGAACATACTATTTGGAAATGTTGAGTTCAATTTGCATTATCTCATAAAAAATAATTTTCAACTTCAAAATAACATTGAAACAATACAAATAAAAAATGATAAATTAATAATTAATAAATGAAACAATTAAAATTAAAAAAAATAATTAATGACTATAAAAATATTAAAATAATTAATAATTAATAATTTACACAAATAAAAATTAAAATAATTTTTAAAAATTAATGAAATAATTAAAAATTACTAGTTAATAAAAATAATTATTAATTATTAATGTTTAATAAAAAATAATTATTAAATGTTAATAATTAATAATTAATAATTAATATTAAAATAATTAATAATTAATATTAAAATAATTAATAATTAATGAAAATATTATTATTACTACTCATTGAACCACCGTTGCAAGTTGTAGCTACGGTGGCGGTGGCAAGAAGATAGGAGGGAGGAGGGAGGGAGAGAGAGAGAGAGAGAAAGAAAAGGAACCGCCATTGCTGCAACTTGTAGCGATGGTGGCAGGAAGACAGGGGAGAGAGAAAGAGAGAGGAGGAACCGTCGTCACTGCAAGTTGCAAGTTGCAACGGTGGTGGCGGGAATACAAGAGAGAGAGAGATAGAGATAGTGCAGCGGTGGTGGTGGTGGTGGCAGTGGAGCTTCATTAGGTCGCAGTGAGAGTTCGATTCGAGTTACATGAAGGACAAAACATGTAATATTAAAATTTCTTTGAGGGCATTTATGTCTTTTATGCACCTCTAAATTACATCTAAGCGCATTAAGTAGCCTCTCCACCTCTTAGAAATTAAGATCTAAAATCCAATTTCAGATCTGTAATAAGAGGACATACCAAACGAAGATGGCGTATGAAAAGCAACGTTTTCAGATTTAGACATCTGAAAAGTGCAATCGCCACCTAAATGTCATAATTAATGAGAGATTATTAAAATAGTTAATGGGAAAGATGAGAGAGAAAAAAGTGATAATGGTGCATTAATGGGGAGTGTTAAAAGTATTAAAGGCGATTGATCACTTGAGTTATTTTGTTCAATTTTAAAATTATAAATAAAAAAAAAAAACTGAAAAAAGATAGATACCTTTGAAAAGAAACTAGAAAAAAAAAGTGACTTTGAGAATAAACCACAAAGTAGGAAAGTGCCATGTGGACAAATTTCATTTTATTATATAGATATAGATTTAAGTTAAAATAAGTGGTGGGACCATGCAATAAGTGGAAAATAAGTGCTTATTCCTCTTTGGCAAAAAAACCTTGAGTGTTTATTACAAAAATAAGCAACCTTTTGGGCTGCTTATTATAAGTGATTATTAAATAAGCGCTTGTTTGTATTTTCTGGGATGAGTATGTCCCTAAAAAAATTTGAAATTTCAAGATTGCCCCCACAAATGGAGAAAACACTCGTCTTCTCCATTCGTGTAGGGGGTTATTGTAGCGGTAGTTTCACACACAAGGGGCAATAGGCAACTGGAAGAATGGCTAAGAATGACCGGTATGTTCATAGTTTTCCATTTGTTTGTTTCTCTTGCATCTACAATCTGATTTGGACTGTGTTTTGTGGTTTTTTAGTGCCTAAAACTAGATTTGGGCATTTTTTGTATAGAATCGGTTTTTGAACAACATATACATAGTGCTCAGAATCTCGCCAGCCACAAGATGTATAGTGTTTTTTTTTTTTTTTTGCATATTCTAGTGAAAAAAAAACCATAAACCGATTTTTTTTAGGGATGTTATTCGAATAATAATACGTTTTTTATATATTTGTTCAGGTCTTCCTGCACAATATAAAGATTTGTATGCATAATATGAATTTTTTGTTGGATTTCTTGGAATATTACTTTAATAATATGCAAATATTGATTTATTTTTGTTTTTTTTTTGCATATCCCAAATTTTGTTTTGATTTTTCTGGAATATTAATGTGAATAATTTTTTTGGAAGTACTTTTATAATAGTGCTTCATAAAAGCAGTTTTGTAAAAGTTGCTTTTTTAAGGTAATTTAAGTTAGCATGTAGTGCTTTAGGAAATTGCTTTGTATAAGTCGCACTTGACACCACTATATTAACAAAGCCACGACTACAAGTATTATATGTCAACAAGACCTCATGGACATTATATGCACAATAATGTCAATTTAAACACCATACAAGCAAATAAGCAAAGTGTCAAATTAGTACAAAATGTAATTTATCATTTGTTGTTGAGTAAACACATCTGAAAGCTCACATCTCATGCATCCCTACAATGAATCTCTAGTTTTGATTATGTATCATGATTGGCCTCTCATGACTAGCTTGGGGGTGTTATCCCTTGTGGCCTTGTACTACTGTTTGCTGAGAGGCATTACCCTTCATGGCCTGTCTGAGGGTGTTACCCCTCGCGGCTCCTATAATACAATTTAGGGGATGTTGGTCAATGGGATTTTGATTCTCATTGACCAAGAATCCCATGTTCTTTTTTCATATTTATGTGAAGTAAGTGATACCCATGTATACTATCCATAAAAGAGTGAATGCCCCTTTTTTTCTGGAATTTTTATTGGATGTTTTTTATCCCCCTTGTCTAAACATACAATGGGCATAAAGAGGTTATATATGTCATTTACTCTCATTTTACAAATTGCCCATTTATAATTGTTTAGAAACTGCTCACTTATAACTATTCAGAAACTGTCTATGAATTATACTTTTGCACATACATATTTACTAGTCTTCTAGGTGGGTAAATAACTTTCCCACTTGGGGGAAAAATTGCCAATACTTGAATAGGACAAAAATGCCCCTTTTAATAATGGATTTTTATGGATAAAATGGCCATTGTCTTATTTACATGAAAAATAAAAAAACATGAGTAAATGCACTTACCCGGATAAGTTTTTCCTGGAAAACACACTTACCCGGATAAATAACTTACCAAAAAATGAACGAGGCCTTAGAAATTTTATAATCATACTTACATGACCATACACAATGTGCATATCTTTATACTTGACACCTCATATGCACATAGCCTATCACTCATTCAAACACAATCATTCATACTCATGCGCAAACATTTGCAGTCACAGCTCCACATACTCACATATTTTTGCCATCTAGCATTGCTTATACACAAAATTTATATATCAAAATGGGATTCTGCATCTTGAATATTATGAGTTCAAACCCAGAAATTTATACTGTAATGCCATATATGATGAGGCATACACAAATCCACACTTAGTATCACATAGGTTCATTGTCCGTGTATACTTGCATATTCAATTTAGGCAAATTCAACCCCTCGATAATCATGCTATGTAACTTTACACGCCCACCATACAAAGCATTTAATATTCATATCCCTATTCTATTTAACGTCACTCCACTAACACTAAGGGTTGTCATTGCAAAATTTTTAGAAAATTTGGGGGCTATTATTGCAAAATTTTTTAAAAAGTTGGTGGTTGTCCTTGCAAGGAAAAAATTTTCAAAAAAAAAAAAAAGAAAGATAAATCATGCCAAGTCCAAAACACTAATTACTTGTAAAGTTCTTCAGAATTTTGGAGGCTAATTAC